TTAAAAGTAATACTACAGCTCACTATGAGCACTGTTGACTACAACCTGCTTCTCATCACATGCCTGTGCAGTGGTGAGCTTGCGTGTACCTTTGCCAGCTTTCTTTGCCAGCTTTCTTTGATGAACTTATGATCTGGGTCGTTGTGAATGCAGTGGAAGTGATACGTGATGATCTTGATTCTTATGCTTGTGGCCGTGGGTGAAGGAAACATACAGTTATCATGATACCCGAATCTTGGCGTCATTTCTCTCAATTCACTACCTCTTCGATGTTTTCAACAAACAAAGGTCTTAAACGCGTCACTACTCGCATAGAAATTTGGAGTGTTAGGAGAATGATACATATTCGCGTCGTCGTTGCAGGGAGATCAGGTGAGAGTCAAGCCTGTGACATCACCGTTCCCAAGCTCGGACAGATTGGGTAAATGCGCTAGTTTCAATGACTACTGTATTATACACCCTCGCTTGAGGGGCCTACAGCGCTTGTAATAATTCTAGAATAGTTTTCAGGTTTTACGTCCTTGCGCCTTTGTTGACGACAAACAAGGATGCTACCAATTCCGGAAAGGATGGCGTCATTGGTCCCTCCGAAATACCATGCCTCCCAACTGGCAACCGCCTGCGACGACCATCGACATTGCCTTTGTGCAGCCCACCAAGCCCCGGAAGACCCAGAATCCCTTCAGCTTGTACAAGACTGAAACCAATATGTCTTGAATGGTCCAAATGTGAAGCATAGCGGGAGGCGCACAAGTGTCGGGATCCCGACTGGTGGGGCGGGTTTTGTTTACCATAAACAAAGGCGCAATGGGGCAAAAGCTGGTAACTATTCTACAATTATTACAAGCGCTGTAATACAGCATTTTTTACAATGTTATGCTCTTCGATGTGCTATGGATCATTGGATGACTTGCCTATTTTAGGAAATCAAAACTAGGTGACCGTGGACCGCGGATCAGGCTAACTGTTGCAGACTCTGATAGTCAGGAGGTTTCGGTCGAGGTTTCACCGGCACGTAGACGTGTCATGATTGCTCCTTGCCGCTCGGAGCTGTGAGCTCACAACGTTTGAAGCAAACTTGGCTCGCTCCACGAACCTGGAAAGTACTGTCCCACTCTTAGATTTTATGATTTGACACAAAGACGCATATAACAGTAAACCAGACGTGAAGCCCAAATATTGCTGCAAAAAGGACACGAATGAGTAGTATCCTATAAGTGGGTCCATTGGTCCTGTCAGATACAATTCAACTTCCGACAATCAACATCTGATGGTCTTTCACGGGAATCTCAACTTTTGCCATAGTATATAAGTTTGAGAACACCGTTATTTCCTACCTCAAACACCATGACTAACACTGCTCTTACGGAACAGAGTCTGAGATATTTCTATGTTTCCAACATAACAATATCTGTGCTTTACGGTACTCTCCTCTCCAAATGACACGACCCCCACACTAATTTTGTGCCATTTCCATACAGGTTTTGAGTTCTGTTTGGCCATAAACACAATCTTACTGCTCCTGAAAGATCATACCCGAAACAGGAAACGCAATGCCTTCCTTGCCGGATATGTAGTAGCCATTGTCTTTACTCAAAGCTCAGCTCTGATCTTCCATTTCATCGGGAACGAGAAACTACTAGTGGAGAGGTCTGCTGCAGGTCAGAGCGAGAGCCAGTGGTATTCTCTCGTCAGACATGCGTTTATATCGGCCACATTAACCCTCGAAAGTACGCTTCTGGTGCGCATAGATGACAAACAGAACCACTGTATCTGTTCTAAAGCATTTTCTGGCCAGCTGTACAGATGCTATGTCATATGGAGCTCTAGATTTTGGATCATTGTTCTTCCTTCCCTCATGCTCATTGCAGAAACAGGTGCGTTTACCGACATCTACCGTGGCTTCAAGTTATATTCATTCTTTTCTGTATTAGCATTCGCCATTGTGTCCATTCTTCAAAGTGCCAAAGCAATTCACTACACCATGAATTTATTCGTCATGTGCACCTCACTGGCCACATCACTCAACAACCTCCTCACTTTCCTCATCTCCTTTCGGCTCATTGCTGCTCATAGAACCCTCTCACAGGCAGGGATCACCTCGTACACTGGCCAGAGGCTCAGTTACACAAACATTGTGGCAATATTAATTGAGTCCTCACTACCGTTTAGCATCCTCGGCATCTTGCTTTGCGTGGCATTGGCCAAAAAGCTTGCGCCGAAGGATATTTTTGAGGCTGTATGGGCAATTTATGCGGTCAGTCACCCCGTTGTGTCCGGTCCACCTTTCAGAGAATCTAAATCTATTCGTGTGGTAATACATAGGGAATTGCACCGATTTTGATTATCTATCGCGTCGCGAAGGGAAATGCATGGTCCGGTAGGAACACGAGCGCGGTCAGCGAAATTGTCTTCCAAGTTCATACAACGACGATCACAGATCCGCTTGCTGAAGCCGACAAAGAGAGGGGGGAGGTCGGTCACCTCAGATAATATCTGTAGCAACTTAGACAAGCGCAGTGGCCAGCGCTTCTATGTGCTTCTACGAACAACACCAGCATGCTAGCAGATACGAATGAAGTATACTGAAGTATCACTTGCATCGTCAGGAGGAAGGCGTGAGCGCGGTGTGAGATTGGGCTTTTCTTATTGGTATATGTATATTCAAGACGAATGTCCGTGCGAACGGCAAGAAAATCCGTGTAGAATGCCTGAGTCCTGAGTAACCAGTACCCGAGAAATAAAACAACACCCTACCCGTCGAACCGAGCGCCGATGTGCCTCATTCAGTATTTCAACCGAGAATCCCTATCTTCTTCTCAAACTCCGGCTCTAACGCTCCATCTTCCTCGACCTTGCGAGTCAACCTCTCTCTCAACTTCACCATCCCCCAAACCAACGCAAAGATAATCACCTCCGCTAGCGTTATACCAACAATATATGCGGCCAACATTGACGGCTTCTCTTTCGAGGGATCAAGAAAGGAGTACGCTGTGAATAGGCGTCATCAGCATCACAGAAACGTGAAAGAGGTATGAGAAACGTACTATAAAACCCTTGAGTAGCATGAGTAATATATGCAAGGCCTAGATATCCACCCAGTATGACGAGCATACAAGGTAGCATCACCCAGTCCATCGCGGGGCTGTTCGTGCAAAGAACTTCGAACATGCAAAACACGGAATTGAGAGCATGCACGGAGATGTTGCGCCATCGAAGAACGGTAGTAGACATTGTTTTATCCGAACAAAGGAGGACCCAAAAGACGATTGTTACAAGAAGAGCTAAAGGAATGAGGCTTGTAAGTCAGGTAGATAGGAAAGGAGAGAAAATGCTACGCACGGAACGTTTGAATGCTAGCCTGAAGCGCCAAATGCAATACTTGGAGTATCCTTGGCCACTTCTGCAGCGGATATCCTATGTCGCCACTCCGATGCCTCCTAACGTATCCAACACCTTGAACCCCAGCCGCCCAGAAATATGCACATATCCCCGTATAAGTCAAGTCCGTGAAGTACGAGAAGAACTGTCCTGCGGTATGATCAGTTACACCGTCCCAAACGAGAACGAAGATAATAGTGACGAGGGTGTAGGAAGCGATTAGGAGACGGATGGATGCGAGTATCGTGGGTGAGAGGAAAGGCGAGGTGACAAGCTTGTTATGAGGATCATATGTGGGTTTCTGGGAAATTGAGCTTGACATTGGTGCAAGTGGTCGGGTGTAAGTGTGAAAGAAAGGTCGCGAAGAAAGCTTTGTTAAGAGGAATAGAAATACTCCCGGTGACAGACTGTGGCAGGATCGTCGAGAACAAGAAGATCGTGCCTGCGATCAAGGGGCCCGCCCACCAAGGTCGAGAATGAGAAGAACGAAAGGGGTAGGGGGCGTCGAGGAACGAGGGAATGTGGGTTGTCGACGGTCGTGTGAGAAACGGCAAGTTTGCTTTTTATAGACATGTTGCTGTGTAAACGTAACAACACGAACCCACACGGTCAACCATCAAAGCGTGCTGTCGCCTAAATGCAAAACATATGGATTGTCGTTTGTGGGGGTGTGACACGTAGTTGTGGGATCTAGTCAAGCGAAAAAATAGCTTTATCCATTAGGAACATGTTTAGGGTCCAAGTAGAGAACTCACCATCGCCCAGCGCAAACGAAAAACCCGAAAAGCCCAACAGAATACCGAATGTCGCGGCTATCTGCCACGAGATCTCAGATCACCATCATTGTATCGCCACATGCAGCCATTGCATTCGAAGCGAGTAACATGTTGATGCTCGAATTAAGCAAAACACGACTCCGAAGCCCATTTCCGAATCATCACGGCAGCTAGAGCGAATTCTCGTTCATCCAGGGGTAATGGTGAATGGAGTCGGTATTCCAATCTGACCGAGGAATAGACGCTGCGATTCAAAACGTCCTTGTTAGCCGCACCTCAGTGGAATATCGATGGCGCTTCTAAAACATAGGTGATAGCTCTGCCTCATTAGAAGATCACACGACGCACTGACAGCTGCCGCTGTAGCCTCCCTGAACGATAGGAGTTTTGGATACCAACATAAGTACTTGTCGCGAATCCCATGCCAGAGTCCAGGGTCCATGGTAACCGGAAATCATAATGAAGTCGATGGCAGGGGTTCAGTGATTGATTTGAATTCTTATAGAGAACATTCTTCTAGCAATGGAAGTGGTACTGCATTCCGATATGAACACTAGAAGTTGAACACCAGTAATAACAGAATCCACGTACCCTTCATCCGTCGAGGCAATGTGTTGTAGATGTGAGCTGTACATCATTCATGGACCCATTTGAACAAAAAGTACAAGGGGCGAGTTGGTAACTTTAGGGACGAGATTACAGCGGGAAGCGATGACGGATGCGTGGTGATGGAAAGAAAGCAAGAACCTCAGCCTCCATGCATGACGTGTCATTAATTCATTTCTTCTAGCTGCTTCTCATATTGTTCGATGTATTATATTCAACTTTACAAGTAACTCTGAATCCCCCTTAGCTCAGTGGTAGAGCGCTTCACTAGTATTCCGACCAGCTATGGGAAGATGCCATGAAGAGGTCAGTCGTTCAAGTCGGCTAGGGGGAACTAAATTTTATCTCACTCATCATGTACTTCTTATATTCTATTGCTCACCTCACAGTCGCTTCATAATATGTCAACGCTGGATTTGATAGGTATCAATAGAACTACTAGGTATGGGTATTAGATATGGGTATTAGATATGGGTATTACAAGACTCGGTATAGGTTAGTGTACTAGAGCTAGTAACCAGTAGCCAAGAGAGATGCTAAAGAATGTGAGTCGTAACAAGATTTCAATGGAAAGCATAGCAATATCAAACGATAGCGGAAACATCCTGACGCAAGATTACCCGCCGATCACACATCCGGATCTCACCCAAACGACACACGCCCCTTCATCTCCAACTCGCTCTTCAGGTGGCTTATCACCATTTCCGTCTCCGCGCGCACAACACCCAAGCCAGGTACACCATCAACTTCAGAGACCACACCAACACTCGTAATGACCCTGAACGCTCTCGCGTTTCCCACTCTAATCAGAGACATGGGGATAGGTACGAGCAGCGGTAAAAACCATCCATCTTGGTCTCTTTCCCAAGAATCGTGTTCGTCTTCGGGTGCTAGTGTTGGCGTGGCGTCAGGAGGTAGGTATCCCATACCCTTTAGACTCGTTCTCACTCTCGCCGCATCACCCGAAGGGAGCATTGAGCGGAGTTTCTTGGAAACGACTATTCCTTTCTCGGGTGTGAAAGTGTCGCGAAGACTATGTCCTTGGTATGATACGGCGAAGCCGGTTGATGGGGATGAGCAAGCAAGGGATACGTGTTTGATTTCCGGGGGCAGGTTCGGCTCGGTGGATGTGGGAGCCGATGAAGATAACGATTTGAGACGAAGGTAGGCTGGGATGCCTATGTATACCCTAGAGTCTCGTCAGCACAGAAAAATGACAGAAATAAGAGCAAAATGCTTACTCATCGACAGCATCTGTATCCAAATCCCATACATCAAAATACGGCTTGCGCTTATAAAATTCCACGCAAACGCTCCATTCTCCCTTATCAGCTGTTCCAGTAAAGTTGGCTGGGAATGGCTTGAACGACTGCGACACCGACGAAGAAGATACATGTCGGCTATGAGAAACAACCTGGGATAGCTGTCGATTGTGGGAGCCGGTCGTCAGGACGGGTATAGACGGTGCCGCGCGTGTAGGCATCAGAATTGCCGTGGGTAGTTTCGAGGTCGTTTTTAATTTTGTGGGAATAGGTATTTTGCTGACAAAGGGAATAGGCTGGGCTTGTGTAGGTTGAACAGCTTGAGAAGGGAACGGAACGGTCGAGTTTGGACCCGTGGTATCAGGAGCGCTGATGGACGAGCACCTCTGCCTCGTCCGCCGTTTGTCGTCCTCTATATCTCTACTTCGCTTCTTTTTATGCTGATTCTCCTTGCCCTGCGACTTTTCCCTCCGATGTCCATCCTTCTCTCCTGACCGCCCACTCTTAATCGTCACAACACTCTCGCTCCTCTCTCTTGGCTTCGCCTTTGGTTTCGTGAACAGTCCGTCCTCCTCCTCATCTTCAAGAAAAAAGAATGACGTGGTATTAGATGACGACGAGCTCAGCTCGCCGAGTTGGGATATGTGGATTGAGGAGGATTTGTGCTTGAGCATCTTGCACTTGAGGAGTCCCTGGTCTGTCTGGTGTTAGATACCGAATGAGTACTACGGGATGGAAAAAGCTGGGAAAGGAAGGAAGAGATACTTACTCTGGCGAACAATAAGCAGGGTAGCAGAGATGTGAAGGAAGGGAAGGTGAGGGAACAAAAGAAAGATGCGAAAATGAGCGCTGTCGGCAATCATGGTAAGTGGGAAGAATGACACATAGGGTCTTGTGATCGACACGGACATGTGATGGCTAAAAAAGGGAATCTCTGGCCAACGTGGGGATCGAACCCAAGACCTTCGCGTTAATGACATATTAGCACGACGCTCTAACCAACTGAGCTAGTCGGCCAGTGTTTGGGCTATCAAACCACCCTTATCGATCGCTCAAGCCTTCTATGTTACTGTCTTTGATCGTGTCCCTTCACGTGTTCCCATCTCGCCTTGCTCCCGACGTTGACCATCAAATGGCGAAAACAACCAGCTAGTCGGAGTTCCGAGTCCTCCCCGCCCAAGGAAAGACATTCCCCACAAATAGCTTACCTAATTCCCAACTTGATATTCATCAAACACAGAACTGCGCCCAGTTGCAACTGCCAGTGATCGGGTCCTTCCCGCCTCCTAGGTTACATGTTGTGTTCACCATCATGATGGATTCCCAATCAGATATAAGCTAAATTAGGATCCATCCTTGAATCCTTCTCTTCTATATTTTCCCATCACGACCTTCCGTGCATCGTCTCCACGTGAAGAGCTGGTCTTTCTTGTTTATGCAGGTCGGCGGCCTACTCCCAGTCTTATGGCTCGCGTTTTTGAGCCACTTTACCTTTCGACTTACCCATGCCCAAGGAAACGGAATCACGAAGTGTGCAGATGATGGCTCAGACTGGTATATCAATGCTGTTGGGGAGACGCCATGTACGTTCCTTGCCTCAAATACTGTCCATAATCATACTCAATCCGCACAGGCAAAACATACGAACGCCTTCGTCAAATATGCAACAATAACTGTAACTGGCACCAGTATTCTTCCCGTGAACATCACCCAATACCTCCGCAGATCGTCTCGGAACTCTCAAGACAAATACGCCCCCGGATTACTGTGATGATCAAGTTGGTTCGTCAACCTTTCATCCTGAATGAGTTATCATCGCTGATTTTCGTGATTAAAGCCGATTGTTGCTGCAATAATATTGCATTCACACTGAGTATGATATGCTTGACGTACGCTAAATCCTTGACTATCAATAAGAACGAACTAACCGTTCTCACTATTAGATGCCAGGTCGGGATTGGGCAACAACGAACTGGCGTCGATGCTGGCGCCGGTGCATACGAAGACTATTTGACTGCCGATCGGAAGCAGTTTTGCTCGCCTCAAACCAACCGAACGTGAGTAGCATCGCAAATGAATATCGTTGTTCGACTGACGGGTCACCCGAGCACAGGTTACCCAGGGAAGTGCAAGCTGCTGTGTGCAGAAACGACATCAAAATATCTGATCAAATCTATCAAACCATCTGGTCTGACGGTGCTTGGTACGTACACTGCTTTACGGTACATAAACCTGTTTGACACGCATCCTTAGGTTCTAGTGAGTTACGCCTCTCTTGCGCCTCAGGAAATCTAAGAATGGGTTTTGCAGTGTATATGCTACGTCGCAGATCACGAAGAAATTCAACGCATTAGGTGATGGGGCATTCACGAAATGCCCGAAGGTTTCAAGTTCTGCGAGTAGTACCGCCTCCGACCCGACACAATCGCAAGTTCTCCCGGCAGTCACCAGTTCGGATTCCGCGAGCTCTACGACTTCGATTCCTGAATCAACAAATAGCAAGGGAATTGGAGGCGCTGCTATTGCGGGGATTGTAGTAGGCGTCCTGGTAGCTATTGCTGCTGCAGTTGTAGCCGGTTTGTTCTTCTGGAGACGTAGACAATCGAACAGTCGTTCCGGCCAGTCAATCTTCACAGAATCAAGTTTTGGCCCCGCCACAGTGCCTTCACGATATAGTGCGTGTTCTACCTCTTTTGCTTGGTGCAGAGTTTAATCGTTTAGTAGGTTTTGTTCCTCCTCCAACATTATCAGACTACAACTACTCGGACTACTCCACTACCCAAGGTTCACGGTCGCACTATGGGACACATTCGGAGTCAAGTCACTCACATCCAGTGGGGATAAATGAAAGGCACGTAGATGCGGGGTCGTTGTCAAGAATGCCTTCAGGAAGGTTACCTCCGGCATATGGAGAATTTGTAGAGGATTAAGGTTAAATAAGAGTGCGTGCGCTGACATAGCTGGCAAAAATGGTACGACCCTTTATCGGATTTGGTGCGCAATTTCGACGCAATTTTGACGTGCCATGGACAGGAGATGAGGAACTAAATATTATACTATCACGCTGCTGTAACCAATTGAATTAGTTGGCCAGCAGTATATAATCAACTTCAAGTGAGCCACAACATTGAACAAGGTACTGCGAACAGTTGCGAGCCCAGTGTCTCTCCCGGCCGGTTCGATTAGGATTCAGATTCGGATCAAACCACATTCTCGGAGGCACCATGGTGATCGTCGGGGCGATAACTGGGCAATATCGCTAGAGCGCTGCTTTTGGATATATTGCTTTGATCAAACTGCGCTTCTTGCTTCCCAGGTTAGAAGTCACGTTCATCATGATGCTGCTGGTTGGCAACTGGTTGGTATAAACTGGATCAGTCCTTGAACCTCGTTGACTCTTTGCCATCACGACCTCCCCGCGAGCAGCTGCCAGTCATGCGTTTCAGTAATCTCTTGAAGATCCTATGGCTGACTTCTTTGAGTCATCACATACTTCGATTCACACATGCCCAAGGAAACGGAACGACAACGTGCGCAGACGACGGCTCAGACTGGTATATAAAAGCGGTCGGGGAGACTCCATGTAGGTTTTTTTAATCAATTTTCGTGACAATGCATGCTTATCGCCTTGATTTTTGCCAAGGTAGAACGTATGAACGCCTACGGCAGTTATGCAACAGCAATTGTATCTGGATCTCGATCGCCTTCTTGCGATTCCTCTTTGATTTATTTTGCAGACCGTGTGGGAACTCTGAAGGTAGACACGCCCCCGGACTATTGTGACGATCAAGTTGGTTAGTCAACCTTCGTCGTACCTTAAATGAAAGCTCAACTTCATTACTGCAGCTGACTGCTGCTGCAACAACATTGCGTTTACGCTGAGTATGATATGCCTGACGTATGTCCACACTTTCCTTGATACAAATATACATTGACTCTTCCTGTCTTCAGATGCCAAGTTGGTATAGGACCACAGCAGACAGGCGTAGACGCAGGAGTTGGGGCATATCAGGACTATTTAACAGCTGACCGTAAAAGCTTCTGCTCACCTCAGACTAACAAAACGTGAGTCTCTTCTACGTTACATATTTGACGAAAGTTTCAGTGGCGAGTCGATCGATTTCAGGTTGACCACAGACGTGCAAGATGGTGTTTGCAGGAATGATATCAGAATATCAGATCAGATTTACGAAACCTTTTGGTCTGATGGTTCTTGGTACGAGGCACGACTCTGCAATGCTCACACTGATTGACAAACCATGCCAGGTTCTAGTAAGTCACTGCACTGTCACACCACCATGCTAAAACACAGGATCTTGTAGCATATATGCTACGTCGCAGATCACAAAAAAATTCAATGCACTAGGAAAAGGTGCATTCACCAAGTGTCCGAACCTTTCGTCAAGTTCTGCTAGCAGCTCCGACACAACACTAGCGCAAGGGATCCCGAGTCTCACTACTTCAACAGAGCCTTCCGGGTCTTCATCTTTGACTGTGGAACTAAAGGACAGCAGCAAGATAGAAGGTGGCGCTATCGTGGGTATCGTGGTGGGAGTCATTGGTACTATTGCCGTTGTAGTTGTAGTGGCCCTGTGGCAATTCAGGAAGCGCAAACAGTTGGACAGTCATTATGAAGTTCCAGTAATCACAGCCACAGGATACCGTGACAACCCCACGAAGCCACACGGTGCTTTCTTTATCTTTCCTTTCTTTTCTTCACTAATGTCTATTCGTAGCTCCTTCTAGTGCTACTATACTTTCGACATACAGTCACTCTAACGACTCCACTTCTCAAAGTTCCCAATCGTACTATGACACACATTCAGAAGCGAGTTACTCTCGTCGAGGAGGCATGGGTGCGAGGCACATAGATGCTGGGCGGTTGTCAAGAATACCTTCAGGAAGGTTACCTCCGGCGTATGGGGATTTTGTGGAGGATTAGGGGGACACGAGTTTTGAATTGCCAAGTATCTTGAAAGAAAAGGATATGGACGTAGCTTTTGGTCGCTTGAACGTGTCGTGCTGAAATGCAGCGTAGGAGGTCGGCACATTGAGACGATAGCCTGCGACCTGGAAACTGGCAACGATACATGAAAATGCAAAGCTGTTAGTAGGGCGGAGTATGTAGTACAATCTCAGATGAGATAATCCTCATGTTTCAGCAAAAAGTCCCGCAACCAGATGCATACCATCGGGGAAGCTTTAGCCAACTTACTTCCCCGACGCGAGCTAGTATCGGACTCGCTGTGATCGGGGCTGTCACTGGGTTCTTACTCCGCATTGTTTCAACGAGTGCCATGTCAATAAACAAATATATGCTGTATGAGTCCGTCCGGTCTCTGTACGAGTCCTTCAAAATTCCTCGTACGCCGGCGGTAAACTCCTGGAAGAAATTAATAATGGTGCCACATCCATGCGCCCTCCTCTAATTCCTGTACTCCCGGGACTCTCTCGGGGTGAGGTGTCTCGTATTGACACCGAACGTGTATCATGATATGATTGCTCTTCCTGCATCTCCAGGACTCGAACACCGACTTCCGAGCGGTTAGTGGTCGGAGCTTGCTGCGGACCTAACAGGCGCCATGAAGTCAACGAGGAGACGGGATGGATTAGACACACCCAGTGCAATTGGAAATTCAGGCCCGCCAACCAGGAGCGTCGCTGATTGCCTGCGTTTCTTGAGAAGCCACAAGGTCGCCACAATAGCCATGACAACAGCGGCAATCACTCCTAGTACAATTCCTGCGATAGCAGGGGCACCGGGTTTGTTTCTCGTTTCAGAGGAATCTGATGCACCTCCGAAGGATGTGAAGGTAGCCTGCGGAGTTGTTGTCGAGCTTGAAGCTTTCGGACATTTTGTGAATGCTCCTTCACCCCAGGCGTTGTAACTTAAAGTGAGCTTCTCACTCAGATATCGACTGACAGATCAACGTTAGATTCGGCAGCAAATAGCAACACTTGCAACTTACTAGGACCTGGTATGTCGAGTATCAATAAGTGAGCACGCAAAAGAAATA